TTTTTGACAGTTAGTTGCATTTCATTTTCTTTTCAAATAAGGAGCTAAGCTTCAAATAACTCACTTTCAATTTTACAAAATTTAGGAAATAAAAAGCAATGTTCTGTCTTATGTTTACGTGATAACAAAACATGGACAAGGATGTATACAAATAATGGACGACGCATGGAAAAAGTTGTCAGATAACAACAGTTCCCTAATATGGGGTTATGTGGTTCGTAATATTACTCATAATATTGTATGATATAATTAATAATATTGAATATACTATAGTATATGATAATATTGTATAAATATAATTTCCTTTCCGAAATCAATATGAATAGTGAAAATACATACAAACCCGTATGTTCGAGAAGACGGACAGAATAGAATAAAACACGATAGAGTATTTACTGATTGAGTGTTGTCGGCGCTGAATCTGTATTATGTCGTTCATGTCGGTTACTGGCCAAGGCATCGTGTGCGCCACATTGAATCGTGTTCATGAGGCCCACTTTGTTCGCCGATTTGCTCATTTACTGTTTTATGAATGCCAATCGTGTGCATGTTGTCTAATATGTGATGTGCTCGACTAAAGGTTGAGCAAAACAGTATCAATAAAATATTGAAAAATGTTTGATAATTTCCGAAAAGATTGGTATTGCTGTATGCAAAATAAAAACACATAGTAATGAACCACATTTTCGAGAGAAAAAACGTGCGTGTATTTTAGCCTTGTTATAGGGTCAATACGCTGGACTTTACGAAGAAAAGCAAAACACGGGTACGCCCTTTCAGTTACAAGTAGAAATTACTTTTATAAAACATAGCACCTGTATTGACAAACCTCAATGACTCAGATTTCGATTTTGCGTATAAAGTTTTCCAAGTCATTCTCAACAAATATTATGATGTGTTATTTTTTAGGATGCAGGACTTATGAAAACGTACTGGCTGTTACGTAAAAAGGGAATATCATCCAAGCACCTAAACACACTCAGCGTTGCGTGAGTTATGCTTCTGTTAATCATCGGGGCTGCCAACCTGATATTGATCGAGGAAGGGAGTGGTTGCTTTTTTACTATTAATGCGGAGTGACATCTGGTCTGGAGGAATAATCAGACAATGTCATTTTGATACGGAAATACACAAAGAAAATTTGGCGCTAATATTATATAGTAAATTGAAGTATACTGAAAACATGTAACATGTTTTTGGTTTATTCGAAGAAATGATGATGACAAGAACAATACAGTATCATTATGCTGATAACATTCAGTAGTATATGGTGTAAACGATGTGACACGAATTTGTATTCCACCATGGTAAAATATCAAATATAATATAAAGTTAAAGCGCGGTGGTCGTCGCGCAGCGCGTATTCGAAATTTATGTAAATGAACAATGTATTTTACAGGCGTTGTATACGTCGCTATGAGTCCCATATCGAACAGGACGCGGCCCTTTAAATGTTAATTAACGACTTGGAGATGAGGTCAATGATATGGCAAATATATAGTTAGTTATGATTACTTATTAAAGGGGAATGGTCGCCACCTGCGCGCGCGTGGGAGTTGAGTCCCAGGCGATGATAACAACACGCGCTAAGAACGCAAAGGCTCATGGGTAGGCGCTTGTTTGTAAACAATGACACGCTATGGCCATCTGGCGCATACGTAGGTGGCGACTCCCCCGCTATAACATTTTGTTGAGGACTACATTTGTGTAACAGATATGATCAATGTAAAACAAATTGAATATGCTTTTCAAGAGATCGTACGTGACATACATAAACAGTTGTGTCGAAGCATATGTACAAGGCAAATTTGACACATCCAAAAAACATGTCAACAAGCTGCTCTCTGATTGGTCTAACTGTGGAGCGTTGAGGTTGGGTAGCCAATCAGGCACGCTCTTGAATGTAACTTCACATTGACATTCAGATGTAGTCACGTGTCATAACCTTCATATTACAGAGAAAATTAACGAGAGTTGTAATTTATTCAATTATGATATACAGTCGGTTGAGTAATATCTTAATTAATCGTCTCTGTTGATGATAAAAGTCGACAGTGACTTTGAATGTATATTTTAAAATCACTCTCTGTTCTATAGTTACACGTTTTGTTGCTTAGCGTTAAGAAATTCATACACAGTGACGATGATTGAAAAGACCATTTGGAAAATGTATTTGTCACGTGGTATTTTTGTCGAGCATTCTTGTCATAATTTATCTGCCACTTCATCGTCTTTGTTAAAACATAAATCACAAAGTATTCATTTGACATGACACCAAGTATTTGCAGAGAAACGTTCAAATTTTAGTAAGGTAAACTTTTGGAAATGCGTAGCTGTGTTGTATGACGTCATAGGACAAAACAGCGCCCACATCCCTGCAAGTGGTCTATTTTTAGCGGATATACGTTGCTTTATTTTTTAGAGTTATAGTCGTCGCGCAGCGCGCTTGAATTCCGCATGTATTTTTGTATCTCATTATCATGAAATACGACAAGCTTAGTAAATCAATAGCATATATTAAGGCATATTTTATTATACAGTGCATTTCAAGGTTTCGTCGTAGCTGTAAATAAATAGCCAGTACTAGCACGTGTATCATGCCTGTTTGCTCTATCTGTGCCTATAAGCAAGTCCTGTGCTTTACCCTGATTGTAACATTCGACCTCACTAGTGTTGTTGTTTTATTCATTATCTTAGACCGAAATGAAATGAGTTGTTTACTTTACATCTGCTTGCCAGCTGTTATTGTATTATTAATCTCAATATTGTATATACCTGGGGTCAATACAATATGGGTAGTGTTGCCCTGGGTGACAGGCAGTTATTTATGCGAAAGGCCATCTATACAACGGAGGACGTAACAGCGTTGGGTGCGAGTAATATTGTCTTTATGGGCTCTTAATTAATTTCATTTAAATCTGATTTAAATGATATCTATTGCTGGCTTCTGAGCTGTATTTACGTTTTCTGTCAATTTATTTTAAATATGAACGCTACATATTGAACTGAGCAACTTCTGTCACAGTGGAAGTCTCTCGTTTGAATCTCGAAATTCGTCAACCTTCAGAATAGGTGTTTTAAGTGTCAGGTTTTGCGCGTGCGTGACAAATGTTACAACAGTCAGTCATGTACAAAAATGACTACTTCTAAATTCTCTATACAAATTCCATAACCTAAGCCATCGTAAATGACAAACTAGAAGATTTGAATAATGATATGAAACAGTGTAATGCTGATACAGTGAAATGCTATGCGATGAGACTGCATGATTGCTAAATAATAGAACACTTAAACTGTTTCACACCAGAACGAGCTAACATTGGAATCGTATTAACAAGCTTGGTTAATTTATTTATTTCAATTGATTGCGTTCTGTCCTAATCTTTCATGCACGTTTTTACCTATCTTATATTATGCTCCTCCATGGCTCTGTAGTAGTATACAAATTCTCTCAATCCTGCATGATGACTGTTGTTGGGGGTATGAATTGAAGTAGGCGAAAAAATAAATGAAATTCAGAAAGTTTGAAGTCGGTCTTAAAATGACATGTCCTTTCTACATGGTTTTGAAATCAGGCACGCGACTCGAAGCGCTCATGACTTCGACACCATGGACACTGAGTGTGTTATTTCATTACCTCCATGTGCCATCGTTAGCGCTTGTGCGTGACAAGCGTTCGTACAGTCACCTCATCTCATCGTTACGTTAATATGTCCTCCGTTGTAGCAGACCGGTAATAATAAACTCAGGAAAAAAAACAGTGTAATGTTTACAATATATAAATAGTATACGAATGTGTGCATTTAACATTTTCTGAATTATATATTGTTTTATTCATTGATGTTAACTTCAAGTTTTATTATTATGAAATAAACAGTATATATATAGATCTGTTTTTTGATACGTTTGTTTCAGCATATTTTATAACCAGTATATAAAGAGATATACCAAACAGAGCATCATTCACTGTTATCCTGTATAATACAGTTATATTATTAGATTTACAAAACATTCGCAAACACACATATAAACACACAAGCACATTGTTAGTGTAGTATGTGTATTGATGATGCACAGTCATCTATAGTCCAATGTGTGACGAACCATGATTGCGGTAAACTGATTTTCGGTTTCGTGATATTTAAAACGAAAAAAGCAATTCATGCCTTGGATTAATGTTTGTAGGTACTTGCATCCATGAAAATCGTTTATGTTTTGTTTTTAATATGTAGACGGTCTTTACTTCACATATAATTATTGAGGTCTGCCACAGGTGCAATACGCAATACATTGGCATATTCGGCTTCGAATCGGCGGCATAATTTTTTACGATTTGGATAACCTCAAAAAGTATAACACGGTTTTAAAAGACGATGCCAAAATTTCCATTTAATTTACTATAAACAGTCAGTCTGTTTATGTGAGAATTATAACCATTGTATTATAGTGTCTGTGAAATATACAGTGAGTAAATGGTTATGCAAATTAATCATTCTCTTAACCTTGTTGCGTTTCATATAAACGTTTCTCACTATATTGGTCAGCAAAAGAGCGTCTGCAAATGTGTTTTGTTTCTTCTGTAATAATCTGTTGCACAATATTTTAGCCACATAATTGACTTACCTTAATTAAGTAAGTACAACCTCTGTTAAAACGCAACACTATATCAAACACCTGGACTCTCTTTTCTAGATAAACACACCACATGCATAGTGTGAACATTTCCAATTAGATGAACACTGAGAGCTCCACGGAGCTATTTCAATTAAACTCTTCTTTAATTAAAAAAATCAAACTCAGATAATGCGTATTTGAAAGCATAAACAATCATTTACATCTTCATCTAGTGTTTTGATTTATTCCATTTTGTTTATTTGTTACTTGTATTAGAACTACAATATTTCCGCAGTGTAAAAAATATAAAAAAAGCAAAAAAAAAAAAAAAAAAATTTCAGGGATTCAAGTTCAAATAAACGTGCATATGTATCTTGGTATAAGGTTCTTCAAGATTGTTTCATTGTGTAAGGTTCTAACAAACACAGTATCGATACGCATCTTTTGAAAGCATCTTTCAATTCCCTTGGGGATAAAGTATCGAATCTAACACCCCATGACAAATCAGTAACCATGCTGTTCAATTGCAAAATATTCAATGGTGATTCATTAATCTCCGTCGTCATAGTAACCTCACTAGAAACAAATGATGATCTATCAATCAATATATATGCACCAGGGGTGATTCTTAGTTCAAATTGCCCACTTTTAGGTTTTGAATTATTCAGTGTTTGCACAACTCGTAGTAAAGACTTAATTTAAAACCTCTTTGCCACTCTCTAATGAAAAGTGCAACTTTTGGGAAATATTCCCGGAAATGTAACTATTTCCCAATGATATATGCATTTCAATCCCCCCCCCCTTTTTTTTACAAACATTGAAACCTTTCAGAAATATTTCTGAGTTTTTCTCCATTGCTTCTATAGCTGCGTTTTTTTGTAAATGAACGATGCGTGACATGTATAAGATTTAGTTTGACATCAGTTTCACAAAACATGTTTTCTGGTACACCTTGTAAAAAAACCGAATGATTCAGTAATATCACCTAAACCTTGAGATCATCGTTGTATAGTATCTGTAGTTGGATTCTATTACAACTTAGTCACCATCTCATATTCTATATGATTCACGGGATCTTGGCTTCTAGAACTAATACACATAGATAGTGAATTGAATCGAAACATGAACACATTCGTATTTATGTTTTAAGAATACAGACTCTTTCCGCCGACACACATACACTCAGTAAAGAAACATTCTGACAAATCTGCCCGTTTCATGTAAGTCATAAACAGATCACGAATGTAAATTCCTATCAATGTTGATAATTTACGAGATAGAACGTGAATCAGGGCAGCATCATGCACGTCAGTGTGCATGGGATATATTAATTATTAATGTCCGGTTATGCGTCCCTGCAAATTAACTGGTTGATGGCT